GTCCAGAACAAGTCTGCAGTGAACAAACTTTTCAATATAGTATATTTACCATTTAATGTCTCAGACAGAGCAATGATGCAAGACCCCTGATCTCAGTTAGCTGATTGCTGAACCCCTTGATGCTGACTGACCTCGGGCTGCAAGGCCCAGATTGAGTTCCCCATCCTTCTGAATGGTTGAACTCTGCAATGTTCTATTACAGGTTTCCCACGCCCTTTCTTTAAAGATGTTCAAAGTTGGGAACTCAGAAAAATACCCTTGATGACCACCTCTGTCTTTGTAGAGTGGGTCCAAAGACTTGCACAGTCAGGAGGTCTGAGAGTGCGGGGGGGGGGATTATGGGGGTTCAGGGGCACCCGCGCGGCTATCTTCCCGGTGCTTGAGCGATGGCTGCTGGGTCGGGAGCAGGCGTGGTTCTCCTTCGCACGGTGGATCGGGGCCCGGCCTACCTTCCCGGAGCTTGCCAAAAAAAATTTTTTTTAAATAATAAAGTAATTCTTTCATTGTGCGCCACATTATTTAAACTTTAAAGCTGTTTTTTTCTCCCTATGGCTATGTGAGAGATGGTAAAGAAGTCACATAATGGTGGAATTGGTCATGACAGTTATTTTCCCATGTTCATAAGTGACCATGAGAGTGGAAGTTTCTGGAAAATAAGTTATCTATTCCTTAGCTGTTCATTACTGCTAAGTAAGCATACTCAATTTTACATAGTGAACTTCATTATCTGTGTGAATCAAATCAGAGATTATCCTATCCTAGATGAAGGGTGAATGTGCTAGATACAGCTAAAACTCAGTGTTTTTAGCAGGATCCAGAGTCATTAACTCTATTTCACTCATGGGAAAACTAGACTCACTGACATTAAATAACCCTTATCTGGCTAATGACAGATATAGCATTAAAGTCTCTGTTTCTGAAGTCAGTTGTCTTTCTATTACACCATCATTTCTGTATCTCATGTTTGTCTTCAGGTAAAAATAAAAATTAAGCTGTCACTGTGCTAGTTATTTTTCCCCTACTATAATAAATACCTGAGGTAAAGCAACCTATAAGAGAAAATTGTCAGGTGTGGTGCACACCTGTCATCCATGCTATAGAAGGCTGGGGTGGGAGGGTTGCTTGAGTGCATGAGTTCAAGACCATCCTGGGTAGCAAAGGGAGATCCCTATCTCAAATAAATAAATTAATTAATTTAAAAAATGTAAACAGAAAAGATTAATTTGGCTCACAGTTTTAGAGGTTTCATCCCATAGTCATCGACCCCATTGGTTTGAGTCTGTGGTGAAGCAGCACAGCATGATGGGAGCCTGTGGCCGAGCAGAACTGCTCACCTCATGGTAGGGAGCAAAAAGGGAAGGAAGACGAGGGGCTGAAGTCTCACTGTCCCCTGCAAGGGCACACCCCCTAGTGATGAGACCTCCCAGGAGGCCTGACATCTTGAAGGTTCCACTACCTCCCAGTAGATGCCTTTATTGTGTTTTTTTTTTTTTTATTGAGTTTATTGGTACATTTAGGGATACAGTACAGTTACATTCATTGTTGGGATCATGTACCTTTACATGGCAAGTCTTGATTCTCATTTTTTTCCCCTTACCTCTGCCCTCCCTTCACCCCCTCCTCCCCTCCCCATCTACAAACACTTTATTTTCATCTTTTCATTCTCTCACATTTTTTTCTTTTCCCTTTTTGTTCTTCCCCTACGTATCACACCTTCCCTACACCTTTAGCTCCTTTCCTCCCATTTCTAAATGTCAGTAATCTTATTAGAATCTTATGCATTGTTGCAGAATATTCACACCAGGGAAACTATTTGGTATTTACACATGTGGGACTTATTTATTTCACTTAGGAGTATATCTTCAATATGTATCCATTTTCCTATGAATGAATCTATTCTCTCGCTCTTTATGGCTGAGTAATATTCCATTTTATAGAAAAACCACAACTTCTTTATCCAGTTTCCAACGGATGGGCAAATAGGTTGTTTCCAAGATTTAGCTATTACAAACTGTGCCGCTATAAACATGGGTGCACATACTTCTCTGTGATATGATTCTTTTAGTTCTCTTGGAAAGATACCCAACAGAGGGATGGCTGGGTCAAATGGAACCTCCAGTCCAAGCTCTTTGAGGTATCTCCATATTGATTTCCATAGTGGTTGCACTAGTCTGCACTCCCACCAACAATGGAGGAGGGTTCCTTTCTCCCCACAACCCCGCCAACATTTGTTATTGTGTGATTTCTTGATAGCAGCCATTCTTTGTGGGGTGAGGTGGAATCTCAGTGTTGTTTTCATCTGCATCTCTCGAATGACCAGTGATGTGGAACATTTTTTCATATATTTTCTTGCTGCTTTCACTTCTTTGTATGAGAAATGTCTGTTCATTTCGGATGCCCATTTTTGGATCGGGTCTTTATATTTGGGGGGACTGATTGTTTTGAGTTCTTTATATATCCTTGATAATAGTCCTTTGTCTGAGGTACAGCTGGTAAAAATTTTTTCCCACATTGTAGATTGTCTCTTAGTTCTGCTAATGGTTTCTTTTGAAGTACAGAAGCTTTTTAGTAAGATGAGATCCCAGTTGTTGATTCTTTCTGCTAGTTCCCGTGCTACTGAGGATTTGTTCATAAAGTCTTTTCCTATACCAATGTCTTCCAGAGTTCTGCCTAACTTACTTTCCAGCAAGTTTAATGTTTCTGTTTTAATATTTAGATCTTTAATCCATTTGGATTTTAATTTAGTGCATGGCGAAAGATAAGGGTCTAATTTTAATCTGTGACAGGTTGATATCCAGTTTTTCCAACACCATTTATTAAAGAGGCTATCTTTCCTCCACTGAGGATGGTGAGCTCCTTTGTCGAAGATGAGGTAGCTGAGTACATCTGCATTTGTTTTTGTGTCTTCCAGTCTGTTCCATTGATCCTCAGGCCTATTTCTTTGCCAGTACCATGCTGATTTTATCACAGTGGCTTTGTAGTATAGTTTCAAATTGGGAATTGTTACACCTGGTGCCATGTGACTGTTGCCTATAATGGCTTTTGCTATTCTAGGTCTCTTGTGGTTCCAAATGAATTTTTGGATTCTTTTTTCTAGTTCTGTGAAATATAGTGTTGGAATTTCAATTGGCATTGCATTGAATGTATATAGCAGTTTCGGTAGTATGGCCATTTTCACTATGTTGATTCTTCCTACCCAGGAGCAGGGGATATCTTTCCATTTTTTTATATCCTCTTCGATTTCTTTTTTCAGAGTGCTGTAGTTTTCAGTGTAGAGATCTTTTGTTTCTTTTGTTAGATTGATTCCTAGATACTTCATTTTTTTGGATGCTATTGTAAAAGGAATTTTTTCCCTTATTTCTCTTTCTGTCTGTCTGTTATTTGTGTATAGAAAGGCTATTGATTTTTGGGTATTCACCTTGTATCCAGATACTTTACTGAATCTGTCAATTAAGTCTAGAAGTTTTTTGGTGGAGTTTTTTGGATCTTCAATGTAGAGTATCATATCATCAGCAAATAATGATAGTTTAACTTCTTCCTTTCCTATCTTTATTGCTTTAATTTCTTTCTCTTGTCTAATTGCTGTGGCTAATGTTTCCAGAACTATATTGAAGAGAAGTGGCGATAGTGGGCATCCTTGTCTTGTTCCTGATTTTAACATGAAGGTTTTCAGTTTTTGGCCATTCAATATGATGTTGGCTGATGGTTTTTCATAAATAGCCTTTATTAAATTGAGGTATAGACCATCTATTCCAATTTTTTGCAGGGTTTTTATCATGAATGGGTGTTGAATTTTATCAAATGCTTTTTCTGCATCTATTGAGAGGATCATATGGTTTTTGTCCTTGACTTTGTTAATATAATGTATTACATTCACTGACTTTCGTATGTTGAACCACCCTTGCATCTCTGGAATAAATCCGACTTGGTCATGATGGATGATCTTCTTAATAATCCTCTGTATTCTGTTTGCTAGTATCTTATTAAGGATTTTTGCAAGTAGATGCCTTTAATACACTGGCCTTATGGGAAATATTCCACATCGAAGCTGTAGCAGTCATCTTATTAAATTTCATATTCATGGAGATAACAGATGATAATTCTCAGAACCTGTAAATATTTCCTTATAAGGAAAAGGAGTATTTTTAGATGTGATTACGTTAAGGATTTTGATGAGGAGATTATCCTGGGTTATACCTGAGGTTATACCTGTGGGCCCTAAATCCAATCGCACATATCTTTATGAGAAAGGGAAAGAGAGAGATTTGACACATACAGAAGAATAGAAATAGAAATGGGAGAGGGCAATGTGATCATAGAGACAGAGCCATGGCCCTTTGCCTATTAAGAGGGGCAAGGAATGGATTTTTCCTATAGCCTTCAGGGGAGCACAGTCTTGCAGAGCCCTTGATTTTGGACTATTGAAACTGATACTGAACTTCTAGTCTCCAGAACTACAAAAGAAAGAATTTCTCTTGTTTAAAACCACTGAGATCATGATAATATGTCGCAGCAGTCCTAGGAAACTAACACAGAGACACTGTTCAAATTTTTAATGCTCTATTCAACTCTGTTCAAGTGACCTAAGTCTCTGTTGTGGAACAGATGAATTCATCAGTACCTAATATCTCTGTGCTAAAAAATTTCCCAGATGGCCGGGGTGTAGCTCAGTGGCACCTGGCAAGTGCAAGGTCCTGAGTTCAATTCCGGGACCAGAAAAAAAATTTTTTTTCTCAAAGTATGGAATGGTTAAAATGCTAGGGTTTCCAAGCCCTTCTGTATGTGGACATCTATTACTTGAAAATTAATAGGTAATTAACTTGTCGATTAATTAATTGACATGTTTAAAAAATAGTTAAATTTAGCAGATGTTAATTTGTGTAGAAGGAAAATTGTCATTGGTAAACTAAATCTGCCTAAGAAAACTTGGGACTATATTACATATTTATTAGAATGACAAAATCTCATTCTAAAGAAAGCTTTTTGTTTTTTCTTTACAGGAAGACTTTTGGAGCTATCCTGTTTGGAAGGGTGTTTAAAATCTAATATTACCTATTCACTCTCATCCTTAAATTATTCTTTTGTGACTTTTCTGCAACCAGAGAGGGACACTCCATCTATTAAGGGACTCTTTCTACATTGTTCCAATTTCCAAAACTTCACCAGTACTTGCCAAGAAATCATAAGTGAATTTAAAATGTGCTCTTTATGTTTGGTTTGTGAGTCCAAAGGAAACGTGGATTTCATTTCTCAGAAACAAGCATCAAAAGGTAAATACAGAATGAAAGTGAGGTAGGGAAGGTGGGATGGGTAGGGGAAGGGTAATAAGGGAAAAGAAAAAAATGTGAGATAATGAAAAGATGGAAATAAAGTGTTTGTAGATGGGGAGGGGAGGAGGGGGTGAAGGGAGAGCAGGGACAAGGGGAAAAAATGAGAACCAAGACCTGTCGTGTAGAGGTACAAGATCCCAACAATGAGTGTAACTTTACTGTATACCTAAAATGTACCAATAAACTCAATTTAAAAAAAAAAATCCAGTGGCACCTGGGCTGGGGATTTAGCTCAGTGGCACTATGCCTGCCTTGCAGGAGCAAGGTCCTGAGTTCGATCTTGGGTACCAAAAAAATCCCCAAAAAACAAACAAGCAAAACAGATGCCTCCTCAAAATGCAGTGGCCTTTGAATACTCAGTGGTGTGGCTCTTGATGAGTGACTTGCAGAGCTTGGCAGCCGTACTCATTTTTTGGTTTATTTAAAACAAAATATGTTTTTAAAATACATGAAAATGCTGCTATAATTCAGGTACATTCCATAAGTAAAAGATCATTTAGCCTTCTAGCTTCAAAGGTAGTGAATATTTTAAAAAGCAATTCTAAGCCACCATGGTAAAATTAAATGCTGATTCTGCAGTGAGTCATCGAACCCTTGACACATTGGTGTCTGCTCTTGCCTAACATTTATCTAACCAACTTGAGTTGTCGTTTTACTTGTCTGACTCTCCAACGAGCCTTTTGTGGGGAAAGACCTCTGTTTTTGTTCACCCCCACATCTCTAGTTTTAGCATAACACCTGATATAATATATGGTAGGCACTTAAATACTTGTGGAATGAATAAGTGAACAAATAGAAGAGTAACTATGTGTTATCTGTGGTGCCTAACTGAACCTTTACTTATTTATTATGAGATCAAGCTGTGTTATTCTATCACATTGAATCAAATCGGGTATTTGAAAAGTTGAACAATTCATTCACAGTCATAAAAATACACTGGTGGCCTTAAACCCAAGCATCACATTTATTTCTTAAACCTATTCAGCAGGTTTGTCTCCTGTTTCACTAGAGGTTGGCCTTTTTCCATTCTTTGAAATTAGGAACAGGATTTCTTGGCATTAGCTTTGGACAAGTAGTGCTGAAACTGTTCAAGTGTTCTGTATGGTGTTCACCAGGAAGCAAGATGGGGAGATAGAGAACTAGGAAGTATTTTAAGGACCGGAGACTCTCAGATGTTACTTCTCTGCTCCTTGAAACATGGGAACAGCATCGTGACAAGTTGTCTCAGTTATGATGGCTGTGTAAAAAAATCACCCCAAATGTAATGGCCTAAAATAACACCAATCACTTGATTAGCTTTTTGTTTTCTTTTTTGTGGATCAGGAATTTCTGGTTTGGGGTGTATCATAGTGTTGTTGAGTGGAGCTAGAGCAGAAGGCAACTAGAGAAGCTAGAGACAGGTGGGCATCTCTCTCTTCACATAGTTTCAGAATTTTTCTATATGTGGCTTTTTATTCTTATTACTATTGGGGTAGTAACACTTAACATGAGATCTACCCTCTTAAAAATTTTTAAATACACAATTTCGAATTGTTAATTATAGGTAGAGTGTTGGACAACAGAACTCTAGAATTTAGTCATTTTGCATAGCTAGAACTTTATGACCATTAGACAGCAATTTTCTTTCTTTCTTTTTAGTACCGGGGATTGAACTTGGGTCCTTGCGCTTGCAAGGCAGGCCCCCGAACCGCTGAGCTAAATCCCCGGCTATGGACAGCAATTTTCTATTTCCCCTTTGCCCTAGCCCTTTGCACCATTCTACTCCCTGTTTCTGATAGCTTTACCTACCTCAGATAAGTAGGATCATGCAGTACTATATTTGTTCTGTAGCTGGCTTGTTTCACAGAGCGTAATGTCCTCCAGGTTCATCCATTTGTCACAAGAGTCACAAGTAACAGGATTTCCTTCTTTTCTAAAATGGAATAACTTTCTAGTATACATGTGTGTGTGTGCACCTGTGTGTGCATGCACATTTTTCTCTCTCTACTCATCTGTCAGTGGACATTTATTCTCCATGTCTTAGCTATTGCTGATGATGACACCATGAATATAAGAGAGCAGACATCTCTTTGAGATCCTGGTTTCAATTCTTCTGGATATGTACCAGGAAGTGGGGTGACTTTTTTTTTTAGGAACTTACATACTGTCTAACGTAGTGACTGGACCATTTTACATTTCCACTATCTGTGTGTAAGGGTTCTAATTTCAACACATTCTGAATAGTACTTGTTATCCTTTTTTTAAAATAACCTCTCTGACAAAAGTGATGTGATACTGATTAGTGACACTGAATTACTTTTAACAGATTCCTTGGCTACCTGTCTGTCTTCTTTGGAGAAATTTCTAAGTCATTGACCACCTATGCTCAAGTGATCCTCCTGCCTCAGCCTCCAGATTAGCTGGGACTATAGGCCCTGGTCATCGTGCCTGGCTTTTACCCATTTTAAAATCGGGCTATTTTTATCCCGTTGAAGTTACAGAATTCCTTATATATTATGGGTACTGTATTCACTTTCTATCCGGTATCAGTTCCATTGTTTGCAGATATTTTCCCTGATTCCGGGGTTGCCTTTTCACTCTGCTCACTGTCTCCTTGATGTTATGTTTCCACTTTGGCCTTCCTCACAGCAAGGTGACCTTAAATTGTTGGACTTTTACACAGTGACTCAAGGCTCTGGGATTAATGTTCCAAAGATCAAAGTGGGAGTTGCTTCCCCCGTTCTGGCTTAGTCATGCAGGGTCTCTTCCTCTGCATTTGATTGGTTATAAGCAAATCACACACTCTTGCAGATTCCAAGGGAGGGAAAGAAACACTACCTATTTATGGAGGTATGGTAAAGTTTTAGGATGACATGGGTGTTCTGAAATGAATTTTGCCCTCCTGCCTAAATTCCTGATACCCAGAATGTGACATTATTTTGAAATAAGACCATTGTAGACACAATTTTCTTAAGATGTTAATTGGGGCGGGCTCTAGTTCTATATGACTGATGTCTGTATATGGAGAAATTTTGAGGCAGGCATGTCAGGAGAACAGTATGTGAAAGATGAAGTCAGAGATTCTGGGTGAAGTCATTGGGTTACTGATGCCAGCAGAGCTCCGCAAGTGAGAAGAGAGGGGTGGAACAGTTGCCTCCTCACAGCCCTTAGAAGGAACTGACTCTTCACACCTTGATCTCATACCTGCAGCTGCTAAAACTGGGAGACAAACTGCTGCTCTTTAAGCCACCCAGTTCAGCCACTTCATTGCAGCAGTATGGGAAATACAGTGAATGTCATCAGGGAAATACCTGTATTTGAGATGTTCTGACACTATTTCAACCCTGCCTTTACTTGGTTTTCATAATCTTTAAAAAATGTAATCACTTTAATAAGCATTTGGAATGTAGATAACTTCTTATTCCTATTTTCTCGTATAGGAAGGAAGAGATTTAATTTTGAATTGTGTTTTATTGTGTATTATTTTGTAAATAATGTTTCCTAAATCTCTTTCTAGTTCTTATCATGAGAAGATCAATGGGCAGGAAAGCAAAAGATTTTTTTTCACCTTGTCAACATTTTAATTTCTCTGTAACTGCTGGAGTTGACCAGTTGGAGGAATCCAACACTACCCGCAGCCTCAGGGGACACCCTAGAAAACCAGCCACTGTGGAGGAAGAGCCACCCAAGGAAAATTTTCTAAATGAAACTTGCAGAATCACAGAGTACCCGAATAACTGTTCTCATGTTTCCTTGCTCCTAGAAATGGACATAAAAAGTAAGTTTTTAAAGAAAACTAGAGGGGAAGAGGAGAAATCAGATAAAGATGCATAAAATTAAGTAAGGGCCTTTACCATCATTGAAAGTCAAATAGTTGAAGAAATTCATTAATGAAATAATAGAACCTGAAGGAATATTAGTCTGTTTTACTCTTTATTTTTTCTTTTAAAAATGTACTATTTATGATGGTGGCTGCTATAATCTGAGGCAGAGGAGGCATCTGTGGGTCAGGATTTGGGGGGCACTACAAGGACCTGCCATAGTGTACTTCCACTTCTAGTTATTGGCTGTGTTTCTTTTAAAATGTAAATATCCAGGGCTGGGGATTTAGCTCAGTGGCACCGTGTCTGCCTTGCAAGTGCAAGGTCTTGAATTTTATCCCTGGTACAAAAAAAAAAAAAAAAAAAAAAAAAAAAAAATTGTAACTTTTTTTTTTTTTTAAAAAAAAAAAAAAAAAAAAAAAAAAAGTAAATATCCATGTACATTGTGATGTGTTGTTAAATTTTGATTTGAGTTCACTTACCATGTGCTGTCACAGAGCTGAGAGCCAGGCTTGGATGAAATGGGCTTTTGGATATTATGCTTCAAAGATAGTGCATTTTAGGCACCTAGGGTCACCTAGTGACTGAGGGAAAAGTAGGAGGCCAAAAGATGTCTCTTATGTATATCTTAATTCTGCTAAAAGGTGATTGACTTTCTAGTCATTTTGAGTGACCACAAATATTCCTTTCCTTTTCCTCTTTCCTGGATACTGGGGATAAAACCCATGGCTCACTGATCTTCAGCCTAAGCCCTTTAAGAAAGTTTTTAAAAAAAGACTGCATAGAAAAGGTGACTACAGTGAAATTTGAAAGGGAGTTTTGGATCATAAATATTTAAAACATATTACTCTGAATGCACACTTGGGTATCCATCTAATTGCTTTTCATATTTTTGAAAACATAAAAACAAAAGCTTCCATAATTATGATTTCAGGAGAATTTATTTTTGTGTTAATATAAAAACCCATAAATTCTAGATTCAAAGTACAATAATAGTTATCAGATCCCTGAGGCTCCACAATTCAGAAAGATATAGCAGTGGTACCACAGATATGTGCTCTTCAAGTCTGGAATAAATGTCTGTCTGTTTAGCCATGTGTAGAAGGTTAAACATTTATTCATGTTTTACTCTGTGCAAAGACACATTTAATCTCTCTTCAAAGCCTTCTCCATCAGGAGGTGAAACTAAATTTAGCCCACTCTGGTATGGTTACTTGGAAACAATTCTTTAAACTGTCTTTTTAGATTTTCTTGGGATTCTGTCTCTTTCTCCGTGCCTCTGTCCAAGAGCTCCCTGGCTGCAGGGGTGGAGGGCAGGTGGCAGCCTGGGCAGTAGCAGCCATCCTTTTCTGAGTTTATGTGGGTGCTGTGGTGGATGCATTCATCAGTCTGATCCTAATCATGCATGTTTGGCTACTGCAATATAAACTTGGTGAATGCATGGTTCTCTTTTAATAGTTTGCTGCCTAGTGAGACTTTGGTCCTTGGGCCCACCTTGGGTCTTGCTGGCACTGTAGATCTCCTGTGCTATTTAACTGCATGCTTTTATTCTGCTGAGTGAGGAATACAAGTTTTGTATCTAGCGTTGAATGACATTGCAGAGATTAAGTGCCTTATGCCAGCCAACCTGCCTGCTCTCTACTTAGTCTCTTTTGTAAGTGTGGAATGACTATTTAATGTTCATCTTGGTTCTTGGAAAGGAAATATCTAGACCATTAACACCACAGAGGGAGTTACCAAAGGTTTAAACAAATTATATATTCTGCTAAGTTAAATAAGGACCGGCCATGTTCTGTGTGCAAGGAATAGGGTACATGGGGTGGCTTAGAAAGTCAGGGTACAGTGTATCTTGACTTGGTGATGTCACCCCTATTGAAATCACCGATTTGTGGGTCTGCTGGGCAGTGTATGTTTTCAGGACCAAGGCAGATTCTACTGAACAGTTGTTCTATGGTGACCATACCCCCCATGTTACCTCACTGTCATCTGAATGAGCAAGTTTATGCTTGCATCCTGTTAAATTTAGGCCAGGGCAGCTGTAGGTGTCGTCAGTGCATGCACCTGATCTGATCATTGGTGTGTAAGACACTGAACTATTACCTGGTGGAAAGAGGATCAGGGTATGCATCTGTCTTGGCCACTCTTGTGCCTTAGCTGGCCCCTTGTTTGTTCCTGCCGTCCCCTTTCTTCTCCATCCTTCTTGCACTCACCAAATCTTCATTGGTTTGAGGACATATTTTTGGGCTGATTGACTCAGGACAAAAATTTTTACTATAAATGGCTCTGGTTCTGGTACTCATATGTTGTGGTCTCAACCTAGGGACAGCTATGATAGTGAAACTAATATCAGCCCAACCTGTAAGTGAAATTAACCTTAGAATTTTGGAGTTAAATGGACGCTTGAAAGCCACCTGGTCAAATCTCCTCTTTTAATACATTGGGAAGGAATTCAGGAGAGCAATTGACCTTGTAATAGTTAAGACTTCATATTCATCTTTTCTGTTAAGGGCATACATTCCATCACATTGCTTTTGATCTGTTGCAGGATTTTATTGTATTTTTTGAAATAGTACTTTTTTTCTTTACAGATATCACTTGTTCCATGAAGACCACTTGGTACATTTTAGTTTTATTAGTCTTTATTTTTTGGATCATTCTCATGATCCACAAAATACTTGAAGGCCACAGGAGAGTGCAAAAATTGCAGAGTAAGTATGGAGGAGTAATTCTGTCATTTAGGTTAACCCATTTATTGTCAAAGAACTCCTACTTTTATCTGTAGACTTAATTTTCTTTTTTTAGTTCAACTTACTATTTATTGTGTCCCAACTATCTGTAAGTAGTCAATCTCAATAATCCAAGGAATAAAAGCATAAGAAAGACATGGGATCGATATTCATGCATCTTTCTCCTACTTGGAAAGGTAGGGGGAGTAGAAAGAAAGACTAGATGAGGGCTGGGGATGTAGCTCAGGAGTACAGCACTTGCCTAGAATGTGGAAGGCTCTAGATTCAACCCCTGGCACCGGAAAAAAATTCCTGGAAGACCGAGTGAACAGGACGAAGTTGATGGGATGTTGAACAGGGCTTAGTGGAAGTAAGGCAAAGAGAGGCAGAATAAGGGGAGGTGGTGCTGAAGAATTTCAGAGAGATCTGAAGCAGAGCGGCTGTAGGTGATAAACAGGAGCTGGAGTCAATCTTTAATAAGTGTGGAGACATCAGTAGGCTTTTCATAAGGCGGAGCTGAGAGGTATAATTGGAAATCAGGGTGATGGGTAATGTTGAAAATACTGAATAGCTTATATGACAAAGGCACTCACCTAACAGGATGAACTGTAAACCACTGGCATGGTATGTGTGCAGCCATGCATATATATATATGGGATGACTATCAGGCCTAATGTGAGAAGTTGGTCTCTTAAAGACAGTGTAAAATGTATCACGGTGACAATGGGTTTAACAGACAGATAGACTTACGTTAGAGTCCCAGTATTATCCCTTACTAGCTGTGTAACTTTGAGCAAGTTACTTGACATATCTAAGTGTGCCTTTACTCTCCCATCAAAGAAGGCTACTCACCGCTACCACACAGGTTTGAGGAAAGGACTGAAGTAAAGAAATTACTTAAGAGGTTTAACATTTAACAATATCTGGTACAGTGTTGTTTATTTTCCAAAGCTCTTATGTCACTCACCAGCTAAGGCCATGTTAGTCATTCCAATAGCAGAAAAATTGCTTGCCTCTGGATTTAAGCAAGGGTGCTATTAATTCTTTTCACTACATTGTAAGCTTTTTCTTTCTTATTTTTTTGGTACTGGTGATTGAACTCTGGACCTTGCGCTTGAGAGGCAGGTGGTGGAACCACTGAGCTAAATCCCCAGCCTGTTGTAGGCTTTTTAAAATGGGGTACTGACGATTGAACCCAGGGCCTCACTGCTAGGCAAGTGCTCTACCACTGAGCTATTTTTATTTATTTTGAGACAAGTCTTGCTAAGTTGCCATGGATGGCCCCAAACTTGTGATCATGCTATCTCAGCCTCCCAAGTAGCTGGATTACAGGTATTACTCACCATGCCCAGCTTGTTGCAGATATTCCTGAGAACAGTTTCATGTCAAATATTACCTTTGATATCTTAGTAATAAAGGCCCCTAATTCAGGAGTTAATAAAATCATCAACACTATAATTTGTACAATAACCACTTTCAGAACATTTTCCCTAGGTTCTCAGAGAATGTAAAGAGCATATATGCTATTATTTTCATTTTTTAGATTGAAATAAACCTCCTGAAACTCAGAGAAGTTAAATGCTCTGTCCAAAGCTATCTAGCTAGTGAAATGTCAAGCCAAGACTTGGTAGATTTCTAGTTTTGAAAATATATTAAATAAACATGTTTTATTTGCAAATAGTACATAGTTCTGAATCTCCTGAATCATTCTGCATATAACTATGTTTAGGAAAGACATAGTGAGAAGTCGTACCAGGTTCTTACGAACATCTACCCACAAGACAGATTTAGTGGCTTTCAAAAGCTTTTCATGAATATCCAAGCTACAAAGTAATGACAAATGTCATACCACTCATGACATTAAATATAATTAAATATTAAATGAAAGTTACATATTCTCTATATCAAATAAATAATATTTGGTATGTAAGGGCCAGTGCTTTTCATTACAGGATATGACATAATGGCCTTTATGGTACCAGAGAAGCCCCTGGCTTTAGAAAGAACTTGTTTTTATTTTACAGAAAGGGAAAAGTTAATGGTGTCTTGTTACCCAGGCCCTGTTGTGAATGACCCATTCTTGGTAATCTTTTGAACCAACATAGGAAAAACATACTGAGATTGTGCTTGTTTATTAGCTAAATATTTAATTTCTTTTCTTGGACTAGATCATAAAGACACAACTGCATCTGTTCACTTAAGAGGAAGCAATTCTGAGAAGCTGAGAGCCCTGAATGTGCGGGTTATTCCAGGTGAGTTCTGTGGTGCACAAACAGAACACAGCTCAGGAAATTCCAAAGCTGCACCAGTTCACTACAAAGTAAATTCAAGATCTGAGCTCATTTAAATTAGCCTTGTATCTGGAATAAAGGAGCTGTGGGCAAATGAAATCCAGCTTAATATGTCTTATTATCGGGGGCAGTTACCATCCAAACTACCTCCTTAAATAATGGAAAGTTTGCTTAATTGGCACGAAGAAACTCCTGTGAGTAGGCAGAGAGGAGAGTGCAATAAGAAATAAGCCACAGATTTATTTTTAAATGAGACAAGATACCATTATTGCTCAGAATTGCAAGAAGTAATTGCAGAGTGGGCATGGCTTTTGCTGGCGCCGTCACTTCACAGAGGGTGTCATTGTGCAAAGAGAACTTCTAATAGCCCCAATTAAAAAGCCCCTGTCCTCTCCCGAGAAACAGCAGTGGAATAAGGGGATCCTAATTAGAGCAGCTAAGAGGGCTGTAGGCACAGATGCTGTGGTTCCATCTCCTTCTAATTGTGCAGCCTCCCTATGAATCCATGCTGTCAAATCACATTAAAAAGAAGGACAGGGAAAGTGTGACATGGAAAAAGTCCTCTCCTTCACCAAAGAGAAATATTCCTGATTGAAGGAAAAGCACAGAATTCTGAGAGATATTGCTAATGCTTTGTCCACAGCCTGTGAGCAGACCCCTTTGTACTCTGTGAGAAGTTAAAAAAGGCAGCTTCGAGTCTGGTGTGTAAACACTTTTCAGAAATGAGAGGAAATCAGACAACTCTCTGTCCCCCACTGGAGCTGCCTCTGAAGCAACCTCGAGATGTGCCCAGCATTTCGCTGAGGACCAGGCCCCTGAGGGTTTTGTTAGCTATTGAAACAAGCAGGAACTCAGACTCCTGGTCTAGGGAAAAATTAGACTGGGTGCAGCTAAAGAGCTCAATATATATATATATATATATACTTTCTACTAAGTTTTAGCAGTCAAATTATTAAGCGGTGATTAATAATGAGCACTTGCAATATAATCGTTTGACTCCAGGTACACGTGGGGTAGGTTGATGGCAATTCTGTGCAATCAATGAAAATTTTGTTTAGTTAATAAAAGCCACAAAAATAATTTAAGTAAAAACATTCATTTTTTTAAAGGAAAAATGGCATTTCCCGTTTTTCTCTCTTACCTAGAATAAAAATACACCCATATACCAGGAGTGGTTTAACCCAGTTCTGCTGGGCTTTTTGCTTGCCTTAGGAAACCTGGTTATTTCTATTTTCAAGTCATAATTTTGAGCACTGCAAGTCTTGTTTGAGAAAAAGCCAATAGTTCCCCTGTCAACCCATATAATCGGGGGAATCACAAATTTTAAGCCCTAGCTAACCACAAGACTAACCTCACAGGTTGTATTTATGAGCCTGTGATTTTCATTCACCCAAGAAACCTGTCTCAGCCATCCTTTCTCTTTAATAGCTCTCACTAAAACTCCTCTGGCTTTATTACCAGGTAAATAATATTAATGTTCAGTGCAGGCCAAGGGGTGATGGCCTTTTTTAAAACCAAGGATCCTTTTGAGGTCTAGCATTTTAACAAGAGGAAGAAGCAGATTCTTTTCTTATTTCCATTCCTTTAACCTAAATCCAAGTTTTCCCCCCTCCCCATCCTAAACTGCTCTTTCTGAGAGAGAAATGGAAAGGAAATAATGTCTCCCTTGAGTACTATTTTTAAGGCTGCTCCTTGTAATGATGGATTATAGGCAGAAGTGAGAATGTAAGGGGAAAATGTGCCAGTATAGTTCTCTGGAAATGCAGTAGAATGAAAAAAAAAAATGCCCTTCAAAGAAGAGAGATCACAGAGCCTGCTGTCAACTCTAGCTGAGTTCGTTCCAGCATGTCTCCACACATTACAAAGTCAGTATTGTTATACACATACACACAGAAATATAGAAAGGCTCACTCTCTCCAAAAGAATTTTATTTATCCCACAAGAGAGAAAGGAGAGATTACCAGGATGTTGGCTTGCACAGCACTTGGTACATGCTAGGGGCCCAGCGAACATTTGGTGGAATAAATGAATCTCACCACTGTAGAAAGAGATGTCAGACAGAATCAAATCGCAATCTTTTATGTCTCTAATATTTCCTCCTTGCTTAAGAACATGATGACTTGTGTGGCCTGTCTTGGCATTAATCTACTTAACATTTTATTCATTCAATTATTCCTGTCAGATAAGTGATGGCCCTTTCTCATTCATCTTTGTATCTTTGTCTCTAGCATAATATCTGGCATGTAGTTCATGCACAACAAAAGCTCACAAAACCTCACAAACCCTAAAGGGAAATGAGTATAAAAGGGAAAAAGATCAGATGAGAAAGAAAGGAATCTTAGGCACTGAAAAAGGTGAAAACAAATGAAGAGGCAAAGAGCAATTAGAACATAACTCCACTTCGTTGAAGAATCTATAGCTTATTTTATAGAATAGTTAAGGATATCAAAGAACAATGAGGAGCATTGATCGTCTTAGAGGAGATATTTGGAGAACTATGTAAATGTGTCTCCAGAAACTGTGTTTGATGGGTTGGTCACCTTGAGAAACCAAGACGAGGGGGCTGGAGAAGTGTCTTAGGCTCTAATGCTAAATTACTGGGTGCAAACACTAGAAGCCCTTGAATAACTGCAGGAGTGAAGTTTATTGGTAATCCAGTAGGCAGCCCTTGGAATACAATAATAGACAGCTTAGGGAATCTGAGCTTGGAAAATTAACAGGAGTTAGGGGAGCCAAGAAGCCAAAACTACAGCCCAAGCCAGGGAGTGTGAGAGCTTTGAGAGTTGCCTTGCTGTGTCCACACATGACATGCTCCCTCATAGCAGCTGGGGCCACCTTTGACTGACTCACAGCTTTGCATCTCTCTCTGGGATTACAAGCCTAAGCAGGAGCTGGCTGACTGTGTAAAGGCTGCAGGTATCAACTCTGGCTGCCAGGAACTATCCACTCCTCAGCTTCCTGTGTACTTGAGGTGATTCCTGAGAAGCCCACATACTGGAGAGCCACACGTAAATCAGGGCTAGAACTCCCCACTCACTGCTGCTGCATGAGTCTGTGAAGGCCTCATTTTCTATCTCTCTCAAAATGTTGAAGTCTTTAAAACTTGAAATCCTTTCCCCTTTAAGTATTCAACCCAATTTTACTGAGCATTGACCATGGGTCAGCCATTATGCTAAGCACTAAGGGTAAGTATTGTATAGTGGTGCATACTTTGGACTCATTCCCTGCCTTCTTAGGGTTCCCACATAGGTAAGGGTTTTCTACCAACTGTCACCTGAGGAGAAGGGCGTGGAATATCCTCCAAGCACCTTCCATATGCACTGTGCTTCCACATATTCTGCTTTGTTTAATTTCACAAGAACTTCACATTTTTCCGATGAGAAAACTGAGGCTAAGAAGTTTAAGTGACTAGTTAACTGGTTTATAGTCAATTCCTAGCCGAGTCAGAATTCAACATCCTTTCTGTCCAACCGATGCAGTGTTTTATTTTCAGTACTACAGTCAGGATTAGATCCAGGGCCTTTGTACTGAGCTACATCTTTTTTGTTTTGTGTTTTGAGACAGCACCTTACTCACTCACTAAGCAGCCTAGACCGGGCTGTCCTGCCTCAGTCTCCCAAGTAGCTGGGATCTCAGGCATGTGCCACCACCCTGGCTTGACATAGTTTCTAGCACATCACTCGATGGCCGTGGTGAACTGGAGAACTGCTGGTTCAAGTTACAGATCAAAACTCTTGTTGCATTTTACATTTAACACTGGTAACTGAGATGAAGGCTTTTCTTTATATAAAGTTGTAGCAGCTTGTGTGACAATATGAGTCATCCACAAAGAAGCATTTTGGCACTGGCTGAAATGTTTTTTTGTAGTTGACGTGGGTGGGCTCTAAGGGAACATGGAGCAAGGAAAACTGAATTTTATTGTGAAAGGGGATTAGTAAATACCAAAAGTAAGTGGCTGACCCAATTTATATTACCCTAAAATAAAACTAATGGCAATATAAAATTATAATCGGCAATATGTTTATGACCAGTACAATAAAGCATAAGCAGGTTTCAATTTTCTGAAAAAGAGAAGATAGATTACTGGTGCCAGATGTTTTGCAACCCAAGCAAGATAACATGAAAATTTAATTTTTACTTGCTTAACTGTAATATTTATGACTCTTAAAATACATGTTTGGGTTCATAAACAGGAAAGGTTACAGCCTTCTGCTTGGTTACAGAATTGATCAAAATGCAGAGGATGATTCTGTTTGCAGGAAGAAATTCACAAGTGTGAAGAATCTATAGGTAAAATAGAATGGTTTATTCTATTCATTCATTGAATACCTTTATGCAAGAGCCATTTATACCAGGTCTGGAAGAACTGATGGCAAAACATATACATGTAAACACCTCCTTCATCTTTGTACACACCACCCCTGCCTGTGCTGTCCCACCTGCCTTGTCCACCCCAGCCTCCCTCCTCTCCTCCCTCCCCTCCTCCCACCCTGACATTGTCTATTGAATTCCAAGCCTGCCCCTGTGATCTGGACTTAACTAAACTTCCTAAGGGACATAGTCTGGGGCCTTCTGGGCTAGCCAGGTTCCCTTATCACAAATCCTTAAAACACCATAAGTCACTTTGCAGCATTTTTCACTGATGCTGTTTTGTATTTTTGTGTTAGTATTTGATAGATGTCTCTCCCATGAGCCAGTTAGCAACTGAGGTCAGACTCCCTGATGATAACACATTGCTGCGCTCCCCACCCACAGCGTGGTGCATAGCATGGAGACCTAGTAGGTACCCAGTAAATAGGACTCAATAAATACACCTCTATATCAACCGCTGAAAGGGAGGTGGCTGCTGTCTTACAAAGACCTTCCAAGTATTTTCCCCCCTAAATTGTAATTTTTGATACTAGGTATCTGAAATAATGAGGAAGAAATTGAGTGCTTCAGTAGCTTCATTTCTCAGAGCA